ATAGTTTCTTCAGGAAAGCAGAGATAAACTCAACATGATGTGAGTGGATAAGGCCATTCAATCGGGATATCTGCACTGAGCTATGTTTCCCCTGATTATGAAATATTAAATTCAGATTTTTCTCACCATATTTGCTAATAGAACAAAATTAGAATAAAAACAGGTGTTTTCTCATTATATTCAGTAGTACAAAATCCACCTACCATCTCCATAAACCCCGCTCTTTAGTTAAATAAAATTAATTAGATATATCAAGTTTTAATTGCAAGCTCATTAATTGCAGCAAATAGAGATAAGGACTTAATAAAGAAAAAAACAAGTTTGGCAGAAGTGCTACATTTAAAAACAAGACTGTTTCTAGCACATAACTAGCAACTGGCTTGCCTTTAGTATGGTTTAAATCATGGGATAGAAAACATCTAAAAGTAGGGATTCTACCAGCCCACTAGAAACATGCTGGTGGGCATGTACTTGATTGCATTCTCTTTATTTCATCCTATTCCTCACCTTAAAAAGTCATAATACCAGAGAAACAATTCTGAAAGGTTTGCTGACGGCTCCAAATCACAGGTAATCCTTGGTTTACAACTATAATGGAGTCTGCCCATTGCAGTCCAAAGTCGTGAGCTGATTTTGTAGAAAACAGAAAAATAAATACTGGTTTTCAGGAAAAACATCATAATATGTAGTCATGTGACTATAGGATGCTGCAAATGGCTGTAAATGAGAGCCAGCTGCCAAGCCCCTGACATGAGGTCACATGACCATGGGGTGGGGGGGAGGCAACAGTCAGAATGTTGGATGCAGGTTGTAAGTAAACCTAGGGACAATTTTGAACAGTTGCTAAGTGATGGTTGTATGTCAAAACTAACTGCATTTCATAACCTTTTGACTAACTAACAAAATTAGTTATATTATGTTTTATCTGACAAATAATATAAAAAATAAGCAAAAAATAAGCCTCATGAGTCTTTTATCATAGTTTTTAATAAAAAAAAAATGTACATACAGGAGAAGGCCTTGCAGCTTCTTTTGTTATATATTATTATTTTTTGTTGTTCTTGTATATTAGATGACCAGGGTAATGTAATGTCAGGAAGGACCCAACTTCAACTCTACCTCCCAGCAATGGAAGCTCAAGGATTTGGGCCATTTATCATTCTTTTAGTATGAGATATTTACATTATAAGTCAATTTGACTGTTTATAGTTGATGTATTAGAAGAAGAGTTATTTTATTGGAAAATAAATATATATTCTATATCTAAATGATAGGATGATTCTACTCTTCAAGAAATATTTTTGTTTGCAAGATAAACATTTGCATATAAAATTCAAAAAATATTACTTATCATGGACAAATATTTTGTAAATGGTTTTGAATATCTAAAAGATCGTTTGATTACTTTGAACTGTCCATCATTTCCTTCTTTAATGTTTATCTTTAGACATATTGAGCAGAAAAATAAAGATATACACTTAGCTCTGTCAATTAAATTGTGAAAGAATATGCCTTTTTTTTCTTTATAATTAAGCATCTTCAATTCCTGTTCTCTGAATGCTTTGCTTACAGGAAGCAATGCCTATACAAGTATAGTAAATAAAAAGCTACAGTCGGCAATGGAACCAACAGGTAATCCTTGGTTTACAACTATAATGGAGCCTGCCCATTGCAGTCATAAGTCATGAGCTGTAGAAAACAGAAAAATAAATACTGGTTTTCAGGAAACTACCATCAGCTACCATACAGGAATGTATTAGTATAACAATTATACAGTAAGCAGTCACCCATTTTCATCAGAATATGAATCAAATACAGTTATTTCTATCCTGCCATTTGAACTATTTTAGGTATCATGGGAAATGTTGTTGTCCATATCATTTCTGTAACATATCTGCCACATGTAGAAACTGTCTAAACATTCTGTAAACTCAAACCCAGGAGCTGTATTTTCACCTCTGTCTCATCTTCACATTAACATATTCTCTGCATTAGGACGATTTCCAATTGACATTGAAGGCATCAAGCTCTGGGTTAGCAATAGGTATAACATGCTCAATTGCAAGACATATGCTGACAGGCTACAAAATACAAGGCCAAGTTGAAATACCCACCTGTGCAGTAACTGTGCACAACAGATCTGTCACCTTTCTTCAGAGAAAGCAATTTCAGATGAAATTGTTATATGCTGTGCCAAGAGTGTGGAAATTATTTTCTACCACAGTTCAAGACATTCTACACAGCTCTGACTGATAGCAAGGCACAATGTTGACACCAATAATGTGCCTTTACAAGTGAGCTGAGCAGTTGTTGTTACTCTTATTATATAAACAACAATGTGAAATCACAGCTGCCAGTTCTTTAAATGGTATTAGCTTCATACACATCAAGTTCTTCACAAGAACCTACAATGATGTAATGTATTGAACTATTGTATGTGTAGATCCAAACATTGTGGCCTTTTGTGATTGATTAACAGAAATTTTGTCAGTGCACAGATTTTTTAAAGTGCTGTCGAAGATTTTTTGGACCTAGTATATCAATAGCCACTGGGATCACCAAGGCCAGTTTATCCCACGATGTTTCAATTTTAATTTTTAGATCTTGATACTTCGTGATGTTCTCTAATTAATTGACTCTATTTTACTACCCCCTGGTTTTTCCACACTAATTATCTACACTTTTTTTCTTTGTAACCCTACATGGTATATTATGAGCCAAGACTTCATCAGGTGTAATTTTGAAATCTCACAATATTTTAACTTCCTCATTTTCAACTACTTTTTCAACTATATGTTTCCACCAATTTTTCATTACTGGAAGATATTATTTACGGATTGTTCCAGTAAAACATTTTGGTGACTGTGTTATGTTGTTTATAATTTTTTTGTGCGACCTTTTTGCACAAACTGAGTATATCATCTACTGTTTTTTTCTATTTTTAATCTATAATTATACTATATATAATACTATAATACTATAATCAGCACTTTGAAACATTTGATCATTTTTCAATTTTGGCCTAGATGAATTAGTTTACATAGATTGCTCTTGACAGACAAAATCAAGTCTTTAGTTTTTCTTTTTAATATTACAGTTGTAAGCTATTGTTAGGTTGTATTTTATCTACTTTACTCTCTATCTCTTCTAGAAATTGACCGTGTAATATTTTTTCCTTCCCAGAATCTCCTTTAATTTGCTAATAGTTGTTCAAGTGATATCTGAATTTGGACAAATTCTTTTCCACAACTCATATTTGTTTAAATATTTGTTTGAATAGACTCACTTTGTTGCTTCCAATTTGTAATAGCAAGCTATAAGGCATGATTTTCATATACAACATACTTTTGTCTTATCTGTGGTTGTGCTTCTTCTAGTAATCCTACAGAGCTAGAGGCTGGTTGCCCAACCAAGCTCCTGAGTCTCATTGCTCACTTGTTGCCAAATACACAACTCTAATATTTGACATGATCCTTACTGACCTGGGCAACAAATTATCTGATACAGGATTCTTTTTCTGTATTCTCACTATAGTAAATGGGTTAATGGATTCTTATTGTTGCTTGTACAATTAGCCAGCTGTTTAGGACGGATTTGGCATTTTTATCCATTTATTAAGTCCTTCCCAAGGACCTGAGATAGGCAAATGTTGTTTGATGGTGTTAAAGATATTGTTGCAGAATCTAAGCCGTTCCAAATAAAACTGCCTTTTGCAATTCAGTAATTATTATTTTGTCGATGTTGATGGTATTCAAGTAATCATCTAAATGTTTTGGGATTGTACTCAAAGTTGTTGTTGTTATTATTATTATTATTGGTACTGTCTTTGCTTTCTTTTGCCACAGTTGTTCTAATTCTATTTGCATTTTGTGTTCCCCCCTCCAGTTCCTTCTTTTCTATTCTGCTGTCTCCAGGTACTGCAATATCCACTATCCAGATTTTTTTCTCTTTCTTATTGACAACTGTTAAGTCTGGGCTGTTATGTGGCAGATGCATAATGGGAAATGGTTTCCTATATTAATTGTAACTCTAAATGACTAGAAAAAATATATCTAATAACTTACATCAATAGTGTCAGAGAAACCTACCAACTTTCCTGCATTAGAATCTTATCCAAATTTTCTTGTATGTGTATTATTTTTATTAAATTATGGTTGGTCACACAGTCAGCCATATATTTGACTGGAATTGGCATTTTTATCCACCTATTAACTCCTTTTCAAGGATCTGGGAAAGGCAGATGTTGTTGATGGTGTTGAATTATTATTATTGTATTAAAGTATATGTCATTACCATATTTGTTCCCCATTTCCTATACAATATTTTAAATGGAGAAGCAAAATATTCTAAGGCAGTGATGGCTAACCTTTTCCACATCGTGTGCGGAAAGTGCACGCACGCACGCTCACATGCCTGCACCTATGATGCAATTCGCGTGTGATGCCCCTGCCCCCTGTGCATGCACACGCACCTCCCGCATGCGTGGCAGATACCCGACAATCAGCTGGCTGGCAGGGGCGTGCATGTGCATGTTCAGTAGGGCTCTTCCGGGCAACCTCTCACGTGCCAGCAGAAATGGCTCTGCATGCCACTTCCAGCACAGGTGCCATAGGTTTGCCATCACGGTTCTAAGGTACCACAATGAATAAAATATTTTACTGTAGTTTTCAATGTTTATATATATATATAGACACATATAAAATGCGCATTATCAAGGTAAGGTGCTTTTATTAAGCATTAAGAGTAAAATGCCTTGTTCAAAGATTACTATATAAATCAAATATTGGATTCAAATATTGCACCAAATTATAAATCAAGTGAATTATATTATGATTTGGTATAATAATTTGATCTCTACAATTACAGTTTCTAAACAATAAGTACTACAAGGAAAGTTATTTTTCTTCCTAATTTCCTGCCAAATTTGGCCTTTCATAATTATTTTTCTTCTGAATTAGGTGTATTTAAGAAAACAAGGGAATATACCGTGATATTCTTACCAATATCCATGCTCTTACAGGCTTTCAGGTTAATTGGTTCCGTCTGTTTGGACAAAGATCTGAAGTTGATGGGCTGATCTGGCAAAAAAGTCTTTGAATCTGCTATTATGCTGTTGAAAGAAAGAAATCATACCAAGTATGTGGGGTGAGGATCAGATGTAGTAATTGAACTCTATACAACATCATGTATTTTCTCTCCTTAATTATTATAAGTCATTCAATGTTTTTATTGCCTACATTAAATCTAAGTTTACTTTGGGTAACTATCATCCAACCCAAAGGTATTGGTTTTTACCTTTTCTGCCCATTTTATCATTATTTCAGTACTAATAAGGCATATTGAAGTTTAACAAAGTGCATTTATTTAAGTATTAAAAGTGTGCTATCATCTAATACATTTATAATCAGGTTCTTAATTTGTATCCAATTAGATAAATCTGCTAGATGCTCTATAATATGTCCATGCTTATGATTAAAAATGTGAATATGCTGTTAAGAAGCAAAATACTTTGCAGGGAAATCAAGACCTAACTTAATGATTTCTCCTTTCAATTGAAAAGATCAAAGGCATAGTCCAATGTCATGTAAACACAAGTCTTTTCACAGAAGCCCTTTGTCTTTAGCCCGGCTTCCAAACTTTGCCCCCCAAAAGGTACTTGAAATCTGTCTCAGCAGATTTGTAGGGCTAATGAAAAACTGTGATGGGGAAGGATGTCTGAACTCTTGATTCTGCTAATTTTCATCACTGGGACTATTAGATTCCATCCACTTATTTCATCCATAATTGTCTTACACCCAAGTCTAAAATTAAATTTAAAAATAATACAGTGTTCTGAAAATTTACATATTTCCAAAAATTTTCATGCCAAAATTTCACTGAAATTTGTGAATTATATGAATTACATGGACATACATTCTGTCTCGAAGAAACAATGCAAGTGTCTTTTGAAGGAAGAGGAAAGCTGTATAAAAACTGGACATATTGAAATATCTTTATAATTAGAAAGGCAGAACATGCAATAGGGAAAACACTGTTGAGGATTGTACTTGTATATAGGCTTCCCAGTCCTTCCATCTTATCTGTGGTTCAATCAGGTTTGCAAAATAGCCAATTTTTAACCAGTTTCCAATTCTATTTAGAATGTTGATAAAGAATCTCTTATCAGAGGGGAAAATAAGATGGGAGAGGGGAAATTGCTCTAAAAAGGGACAGTTCTATTTAATGAAATTGCAAATCCTATATGAACATAAAAAATGCCTTCCCCCATTCCAATACTCAATGAAATATAAAACTGCAAAATGCCCCCAAAATGTTTATAAGAAAGAAAATGTTTATAAGAAGAAATAATTACTAGAAGTAAAACCATTATTACAGTAAGCTATAGCCAGAGGTGGTATTCAACAGGTTCTGACCAGTTCTAGAGAACAGGTAGCGGAAATTTGAGTAGTTCAGAGAGCCGGCAAATACCATCTCTGACTGGCCTCGTCCCATGTATTCTCTGCCTCCTGAGTCCCAGCTGATTGGCTGGGTCTTCTTTTGTTGCCCTGCACAGGAGAATGGAGCTGGAAAGCAGATTAGTGGGGTGGGGAGGAAATGGGATTTTGCAGTAACCTTCCCCCAGGAGTGGGGAGAGAATGGAGATTTTATAGTATTCTTCCCCTGGAGTGGGATGGAAATGGAGATTTTACCTTCCCTGCCACGCCCACCAAACCATGATCACAGAACTGGTAGTAAAAAAATTTGAATTCCACCCCTGTCTAGAGCAATTTGTTGGGTTTAAACTTTGAAGATTTAACAATTCAGTTTTGATTGGCCTCAATTTCTTCCTGCCCAATGGAGATAATGATACATCTAATTTCAGTGAGTGTAAGTATGAAAAGCAAATCAATACAGATTTGGAAGATGAAGTAGGCTGAATATCAGAGCATATGTTATGGTGGAAATGAACTGTAAACCAAAACTATTTTTCACATAACATGAAAGAGATTCATTGCTATCACTAGACATGGAATAAAAAATGGTAAACAGCTTCTGACCTATGATTATAATCTGTGAATAGCTTCTCACTAGGGTGTGAAGGCAAAGGGGGTGGGACTTCATTTTCAGCTGTGCCACTTTCAAACTCTGAAATTTAAAAGGGGAAAAATAAACAATGGTAAAAGCAAATATTTGCCTGCTGGCCAAAGAACTGAACTGGCAGGCTACATCACTCTTGAAGTAGCAGCAAATTTATACAAATCTCTGAACTAGCTAAACTAGAATTAAAAATACACCAAGCAAAAATATTTTCCCCTTAGGATTTTCAACAGACCTGACTCCTGTTTGCTCATGTATAATTAAAGATAAACATATTGAAATATGCCTTATGATGAAAAATGGAAGTCCTATATTGATTTTAGTAATTTCACTGGATTTCACATATCTATAGTAAGCTTGAGCTAAGACTTAAATAAAACACTCAATGGGTGCATAGATGCTCTATTAACTATGCTGCCATATAGTTAAGCAGTCATTCAATTCTATTTTGTTATCCACAAATTGTTATGTATTAGAAAACAATACATATCAACTGATAATAAAAGTATATTCAGTGATTTATGTAACATTCTTAATCTGAATCTGAGCTTAATGTATCAACGACTTGCAAAATTACTCTCTCATGTTGTTGCTGTCTGAAACATATATGACATGCATATTCCTCCCAAGGTAAGAGAAAAACCAAGTTAAGAGAAGAAAAGCATAATGAATTTGGTATTGACCTTCTATCCCATTGAGAGCTGGGAATCTTATTAACTAATAGATGCTTTTAATATGTGAAATACTACTCTAGCCCTCCCGCCCCCCAGTAGAGAAATCTGAATAAATTAATATCATCCACAAACTCTTATTATCTTATTATCTTCATCTAGAAGCTTTAAGAGACAAAATAAAGAAATTTGATCTTCTGGAACAAATTATGAAAGAATGAGTAACTGAATATTTTATTATAGCCCAAAGCCAGCAACTTACAATAGCCTATGGACATTGAAATGCTCAGACAATAAACAGATAACTATATAACTGTGGAAAATTTCATTTACCAGTTGTGATGCCAACCCTTACATGCAGCTGCATAAAATTTTGCTACCTTCTAAGTTCCAGCAGACCATCTGTCTGCAAGTAAAAGGTTAAGTAGGAATTCATTAATATAATCTGGGAAGCATGCTAACAGGGTTGCAATACGATTACTGGGTATATCCCTACAAAATCTGATAATAACAGGACCTACCAAACTGCTTCGGAAGCTATGTGTTCAATAGGGTTTTGTTTTGTTTTTTTAAATCTGCCTTTCTGCAGAGCAGATGCAAGGACAATAAATCACTGCAGTGGAACATGCTTCCAACTTCCAAGGTAACTTAAGGAAATACAGACTCATTCTAGTTGTGGGACAAACTTACAAATGGCCTTTGTTTTAATTTTAAAAAATAGTTTAAAAAGTGTAATGGATAATAGCTGGAGAAGTGAACACACTACATCAAGCACAGTACATCAAGCTTTGACCCAACTATGCTGCTTTCAACCATGGAACAGCATGGTTCACCAGAGGTGAGAATACAAAATTCAGGATGCTAAAACAAATTCAGGCCAAATATGTATTCTTCCCAACTCTGGTATCAGGAGGCAGCCCTTGCCCCAGCTAGTCAACTAGAGAAGAATTTTCAATTTTCTTTTTTTTTTTAAATAGATTTTATTGAATTTACAATTTAAAAACACATCGACAATACATTTACAAAATAGAAAGAGAATGGCTAGGGGGAAAGAAGAAAAACACCCGGCCTAACACACCAGATAAAGGCCGGTTGGGGGGAAGAGAAAAGATATAGAGGGAGAGAGGGGAAGGGAAGGGGAGGGAGAATAGGGTAGAAAATACAATTAAATACAATTAAAAACGAATGATATCTTTTTGTGACAGTCTGTAAGGATCATTTCTCTTCATCATATCCAATCTACTCCTCTTTTCCATTATGTTTAAGTTACTTTTTATCATTTACATAATTTGTCTCTGTGTAAGCCAATTATACCATGAGTCCCAGTTGTCGTAAAATGTTGAGGACTCTTTGTTTTTTAACGCTATTGTTAGTTTATCCATTTCAGCACACTCACAAATTTTCTGAATAACCATTTGCTCTGAGGGTGTATGAGGTGATTTCCAACATTGAGCAAACGCTAATCTAGCCGCAGTTAGAATATGGATTATAACGTATTTTGTCTTTTTGGATAAATATCTATCAGAGATCCCTAACAGGAAGAACTCTGGTTTATAGTCTATTTGTTCTTTAGTTATCTCCTCCAACCATTTTCTGATTTTTTGCCAAAATTTTTGGGTAATTTTATAAGACCACCACGTGTGGAAAAATGTTCCTTCAGTGCTTTTACATTTCCAACACCTTGAGCTCATGTTAGGGTTCATCTTCGCCAAACTCGAAGGGGGTAAGTGCCATCTATATAACATTTTATACATATTTTCTTTGTACGCCACCAATTTTGTAATCTTGATGTTTCTATTCCAGATCTTTTCCCATTCTGTTAATGTAATGCTTCTTCCAATATTCCTACTCCACGTTATCATGTTCCCTTTCACTATCTCTTGCTCTAATTCTACCTCCAATAAATATTTATAAAATTTGGAGATATTCTTTTTATTTGATCCTAATAAGATTTATCTAAATATTGTAATTTGCTATAGATTCCAAACTCTTTGATATCTTGTTTGTATCTGCTATGGATTTGTATATATAACCACTGGTCAATTTTAAATCCCTGTTCCTGTAAATCCTGTCGAGTTCTTAATTTTCCTAGAGGGTCTAATAAATCTTTATATTTAGTCATTTTTGTTATATCCAAATTGTTGGGATGGACCATTGCCTCCATTGTTGAAAGCCAAATCGGAATTTTTAAATAATGTTTTTTGCATATTTTTTTCCAATTAGTTAATAATGAATCTCTAATAAGGTGTCTATGAAAATACGACTGTTTAGTTTTCCCCACTTCCCATAGAAATGCATGCCATCCTCTCTGAAGACCGTGCCCTTCTAAGGCTAAAGTTCTTTTGTTGAGTAAATTAACCCAGTCTTTTAACCATAATAAGTTGGCTGCCCAATAATATAATTCCCAATTTGGGAGCGCTAGCCCCCCTCTACTTTTTGCATCTTGTAAAGCCTTAATATTGATTCTAGCTTTTTTCCCTTGCCAAATAAATTTAAGTGTTACCTTATTTATATCTTCAAAAATTTTTTTTGGTAATTTAATTGGGATTGTCTGGAATAAGTAAAGGAATTTTGGTAAGATGTTCATTTTGATCGTGGCAATCCTGCCTAATAGAGAAAGCTGCAGCTTATTCCAGGATTCTAGGTCTTTCTTAATCTGCTGTTTATCATAATTATTCTCTTTGAGCGATTTACTATGTGGTGTTAACCATATGCCTAAATATTTGACCTTTTTTGTTGCCTGTATCCCCATGGTTTTTTCTAATTCTTTCCTCTGATTCTCTGTTAGATTTTTAGTCATTAATTTTGTCTTATTTCTATTGATCTTTAATCCTGCTACTGAACCAAATTGTTCTAGTTCTTTTATTAGGTTATGTCCTTTTTCCATGGGTTCCTCTAGGAAGAAAACCATATCGTCTGCAAACGCCTGTAGTTTATATTCCTCTGCTTTGACCCTTACTCCTTGGATTTCAGAGTTTTGTCTTATCCGCGTTAACAGTGATTCTAAAGCAAGTATAAATAGGAGGGGTGAGAGGGGGCAACCCTGTCTAATGCCCTTTTCAATGTTTAATGGGCCTGTTTGTTCACCATTAATTAGTATGTTGGCCTGTTGGGTGTTGTAAATTGTTGTGATAATATTCTCAAATTTAGTGCCCAGACTCATGTTATAGATTTTTTGTATTAAAAAGTGCCAATGTAGATTATCAAATGCTTTCTCCGCATCTAAAAACATGAGTGCAAATTGTTTCTCTGGATGAACTTCATAATATTCTAAGACGTCAATAATGGTTCTTAGATTATTTTTGATTTGGCGGGATGGAAGGAAACCATTTTGAACTTCATGAATGTATAAATTTAAAACTTGTTTTACTCTATTCGCTATAATTGAGGTAAATAATTTATAATCAGCGTTTAAAAGTGAGATTGGTCTATAATTGTTGATATATCTGGCATCTACATCCTCCTTCGGAATTAATGAAATCAACGCCCCCCTCCATGAGTCTGGCATTTTGGCTGCCAAAAGTACTTCGTTAAACACTTCCAGCATCAGTGGCCCTACTAACTCTATTGTAGCTTTGTACAATTCTACTGGAATCCCATCTGGACCAGGGGATTTATTATTACTTTGGTTCTCCATTGCAGATTTCAACTCAGACCATGTAATATCCTTATTTAATAATTCTTTCTCTCCTTCCCCTATTGTTTTACCATTCGTATTCTCCAGATAAGTTCTTATTTTGTCTTCACTGATTTCTTCTTTTTTATATAATCTTTGAAAATAGTTTAATATAATATCTTTTTTCTTCTCAATCTCATGTTGTGGTATGCCTTTCTCGTCTATTAGTTGGTGTATCAGTCTCTTTTCTTTTTCTTTTTTAAGTTTATAAGATAGCCATCTTCCTGGTTTATTAGCGTGTTCAAAATAATTTTGTTTGGACCTTCTCAAACTAACTTCTATTTTATCTTGTTCAATTAAATTCAGCTTATGTTTAGCTAATATTAACTGGTTTTGTATTCCTTGGATCTTAGGGTTTTTTTGTGATTGTATTTCTAAGTCTTTGATTTGTTTTTATAATACGTTTTGTCGGGCATAAGTTCTCTTGTTTCTCATAGCATTATAGGAAATTGTTGTACCTCTTATAATTGCTTTCATAGTATCCCAAATATTCTGTTTTGAAGTTGTTTGATTATTGTTATCTTTTAGAAAATAATTTAGCTCCTCTTTCAGCTTATTAATATACTCTTCTTCATTTACTATTTGGGTATTTAGTGTCCATCTTTTTTTTATTCCTCTCCTGTCTCTCCAAATTAGCTGTATTGGGTTGTGGTCAGCCCATTCATTTGGTTGGATTTTAATTTCTTTTATTTCATTAGCCA